GAATTCTCTCATCAAGACTCTGTATCATAGAGCCCAATGCATATCCGACCAGGAACACATAAGCAGTGAACTCAAGCACGTACACCAAGCTCTTAGGGCTAATGGTTACTCCGACTATACAATCCGCAAAGCTATCACTCAAACCATGAAGAAGAACCCTCTTGAGGAGCCTTTCAAAACCATCACTTTACCCTACATTGCTGGGATCACAAAAAAGATCTCCAAAATCTTGAATAAACACAAGATCCAGGTCCGTTTCAACACATTACATAAAATCCGTGATCTGGTTCCGTCTGTAAAAGATGTGATTCCGGACATACAATACCCTGGTGTCTACAAACTAAGTTGCCTCTGTGGTAGTAGTTACATTGGAGAAACCAAACGCCATATCTCGGACCGCATTCGTGAACATAAAGCAGACCTTAAACACGGTAGGACCAACACCTCGGCCGTAGCAGATCATTGTTCTAATTCAGTAGGCTCACATGCCATTGACTTTTCCAAGACGGAGGTTCTTTGTAAGCCATCTGGCTTCCATGAGAGATTCGTTCATGAGGCTATCCACATATACAAACACAGAGACAATTTCAACCGAGAAGATGGATTCTATCTTAGCAATCATTGGAAAGATTTGATAAATCATTTCAGTTCTTGATTGATTGTTCACGCTTACAGTGCCTTTCAGACAGCTTACATAAAAACAAATTTCGTCTCCCCCCTCCTCTTTTCAAAAAATAGATGGACTAGTCCTGGCAAACTGCCATCGTTGCGCGTGACGCAAACGTTATTTTTATATATATAAATAAATATGCCGTTTTCAAAATAAATTTATGCAAACCGACACACCTGATGATGACCGTTTGAGTTATGGTCGAAACGTCGTGAGAATTTTTTATTGTTTTATATATATTTTGTTATTTTGTTGTTTCTCTTCAACGTGACTTTACCGAAAAAACTAAGAATATGAATTACTGCAGTCACGAAAGCTTTAAATCAAAATTTAATCGCCTCTACGGGGAGGGTTTTCACATAACTTTAAGATCTTTCAACAAACTCCGGGATAAGAAAGCTCAGCTGATCGAGTCTCTCACCTTCCTGAAGAGATGCCGCGACTCTGGGGTAATACCAATCGCATTTACACTCACCTCTGCTACTGTAACTTCTTCTAATGCGAAACGAATTCTTTTCAAAACTAGCTTAGCTCTTATCTCAGAAAAAATCAGACTTATACGCACAGAACTAGATCAGTTAGACAAGACACTCTACAAATCACACTTATCATTGACGGCAATAATGTCCACATCGGATTGGGAACATGTAGACAATATGACTGCCTCTTCAGCTGCTACGATGTCGACCAAATGTAAGGAAAACCTGATTTCCAAATTTAACCTCCTCTTAAACAAAAGACCGGACCCACACACCAAAAAGTTAGACGTTAATAAAGTCGTAATTAATCGCAGTAACAGTTCTATTTCCGATGGTCTGAAATCCGTTTTAGCTAAAGGTCTAAACTTTGCAGTCACACCTAAACACATACCAGTTAATGATATAATTGCCCAAGTAGACGTTGCTCTCAGGGGCCTGGGTCACATCGCTGCAGACGTAGCAAGATCTGAAATCGCTGCAACCCTCAAAAACGCTAAGATGCCAGCTAGCAACCTCAGCAAAGATGAGCGTTTTGAATTATATAAATTAAAAAAGAGGAATGATATTGTAGTTCTCTCAGCTGACAAAGGCAATGCTACTGTTATCATGGATAAAATAGAATACAACAACAAAATTAAAGAATTACTCGACGATGGTAGTTATACAAAAATAAAAAGAGATCCCACCAACAGCCTCGTCACACAAACCAACAAAATAATTTCTGATTCAACCACATTAATTGATCAATCTAAACAGTTTTCGTTGAAACCTTCTGCTGCCAGGCCACCAAGATTATACGGCTTACCAAAAATACATAAAGTTGATACACCTCTTCGTCCCATAGTCTCTACTATCAGCTCCCCCACCTACAAACTAGCTCGTTTTTTGTCTGAAATCCTGCGTCCTTTCACTGGAAAGACCACCTCTGCGGTACAAAATTCTACTCACCTGGTATCAACAATCAAGGGTATTTCCCTGTCCCCAGACGACCTGCTTGTCAGTTTTGATGTAGTTTCCTTATTCACCAAGGTTCCTGTACCTGACACCATTGCAATCATTGAAGACTTGGTTCATCAAGGACTAAACACTGAGGTACCCCCCCTGGTGAGACACTGTTTAACCAATACATACTTCACTTGGAATGGAACTTTCTACAAACAAACTGAGGGCACCCCAATGGGCTCCCCCCTTTCTCCAGTTATAGCTAACATTTTCATGGAGAAATTTGAGACTGACGCCATCCAGACTGCCACTCTGCGCCCAACCTTATGGAAGAGGTACGTGGATGACACTTTTGTCATCTGGCCACATGGCCGGCCTGCTCTAGACAAATTCTTCGACCACATCAATTCCATACACCCAGCCATCAGATTTACCATGGAAGTCGAAATAGATGGCAAGATACCTTTTTTGGATGTCCTAATTAAAAAGAGACCTGATGGTTCAATGAGCCACTCTGTCTACAGGAAAGCTACCCATACGGATGCTTATCTGAAACCGGATTCCCACCACCATCCATCACAGAAGAATTCTCTCATCAAGACTCTGTATCATAGAGCCCAATGCATATCCGACCAGGAACACATAAGCAGTGAACTCAAGCACGTACACCAAGCTCTTAGGGCTAATGGTTACTCCGACTATACAATCCGCAAAGCTATCACTCAAACCATGAAGAAGAACCCTCTTGAGGAGCCTTTCAAAACCATCACTTTACCCTACATTGCTGGGATCACAAAAAAGATCTCCAAAATCTTGAATAAACACAAGATCCAGGTCCGTTTCAACACATTACATAAAATCCGTGATCTGGTTCCGTCTGTAAAAGATGTGATTCCGGACATACAATACCCTGGTGTCTACAAACTAAGTTGCCTCTGTGGTAGTAGTTACATTGGAGAAACCAAACGCCATATCTCGGACCGCATTCGTGAACATAAAGCAGACCTTAAACACGGTAGGACCAACACCTCGGCCGTAGCAGATCATTGTTCTAATTCAGTAGGCTCACATGCCATTGACTTTTCCAAGACGGAGGTTCTTTGTAAGCCATCTGGCTTCCATGAGAGATTCGTTCATGAGGCTATCCACATATACAAACACAGAGACAATTTCAACCGAGAAGATGGATTCTATCTTAGCAATCATTGGAAAGATTTGATAAATCATTTCAGTTCTTGATTGATTGTTCACGCTTACAGTGCCTTTCAGACAGCTTACATAAAAACAAATTTCGTCTCCCCCCTCCTCTTTTCAAAAAATAGATGGACTAGTCCTGGCAAACTGCCATCGTTGCGCGTGACGCAAACGTTATTTTTATATATATAAATAAATATGCCGTTTTCAAAATAAATTTATGCAAACCGACACACCTGATGATGACCGTTTGAGTTATGGTCGAAACGTCGTGAGAATTTTTTATTGTTTTATATATATTTTGTTATTTTGTTGTTTCTCTTCAACGTGACTTTACCGAAAAAACTAAGAATATGAATTACTGCAGTCACGAAAGCTTTAAATCAAAAAATAATTTTATTGTTTTATATTTTTATTATTTTATTGTTTCCCTTCTACGTGGTGGTTACTTTACCGAAAGAACCAAGAATAATAATTTTATTGTTTTACAATAATTTTATTGTTTTATATTTTTATTATTTTATTGTTTCCCTATCTACGTGGTGGTGACTTTACCGAAAGAACCAAGATAATAATTTAATTGTTTTACAATAATTTTATTGTTTTATATTTTTATTATTTTATTGTTTCCCTTCTACGCGGTGGTGACTTTTCCGAAAGAACCCAGAATATAAACACGTTCTACTTAATGAAATAGACTTTTTTTTTAAACAAATGTTTTCTCCTACAACATCAGAGTGCAGCGCCACGTTAAGCACGCACTACAATGTGACAACAGTTTAAGGCGATTTGAAGCGTGTTTTATTTTCGAAATGGAAATATAAATATATTTTTTTAAGGGGGGTAGAGCTTTGTGACGTCATATTTGAGTTGGGGGGGGTTGACTTTTTGTGACGTCATGTGACGAGGGGGGTGGTCAAAAATCGCCCAAAATTGCGTGACGTCATTTATGGACGGCCCCCGTATCTCCAATTGCATCCCAATGTTTTATATGGATAAGTTTCAGACGGATGACATCCAGGCGTCAGCCCTAGTCCTTCCTCGTGGAAGAGATATACGTTGATGATGATATATATTTTTAATTATTAGTAGTTTTATTCTATATGCCTTTACCGAAACAGCCGAAGAATTTGAATTCCTGCAGTCACGAAAGCTTTAATAAGTAAAGATTTATTTAAGAGATCGTTTATTCGCGAGTATAGGCGGGAATCGATTGCCGAATCGAACAGCGCAGTAAATCACCGTACAAGGTGAATCGATCCACGCCCGCCCCACCCACCCCGCGGCGGGGTGGTGGGAGGGGTTGGTCTCGGACGTGCCGGAGGGCGGGGAGGAGAAACTCGAATCGATTAAAAACGAACGATTCCTATTCCCACGCTCTAAAATCGATTCCGCCCGTCCCCGCAAACGTTGGGGGGGGGGCGACGGTTCAAATCGAATCGCCGCATCGGTTGTTGGCCCGCTGACTAAAACCGGAATCGATTCTCGCAACTCAAGCGGTCGCTACTGGATACGGGAGGAGGAGGAGGTGGTGGTGGTTGCTGAGGAGGACATTGTGGTTGAGGCGACTCGCCTCACGCAATCCGACGCCATCCGATGCTTTGCTGGTAACGTAGCGACCGGGTTGGTGGTTGTGGTGGTTGTTGTGGTGGTTGTGGTTGTGGTGGTGGTTGCTGAGGAGGACATTGTGGTTGAGGCGACTCGCCTAACGCAATCCGACGCCATCCGATGCTTTGCTGGTAACGTAGCGACCGGGTTGGTGGTGGTGGTGGTTGTTGTTGTGGTGGTGGTTGTTGTTGTGGTGGTTGTTGTGGTGGTGGTTATTGTTGCTGCTGTGGTAGTTGTGGTGGCGGTGGTTGCTGTGGCGGTTCTTGTGGGTGGTGGTGGTGGATGGAGGTTGTTGTGGGTGGTGGTGGTGGTGATGGATGGAGGTTGTTGTGGGTGGTGGTGGTTGTTGTGGATGGAGGTTGTTGTGGGTGGTGGTGGTGATGGATGGAGGTTGTTGTGGGTGGTGGTGGTGATGGATGGAGGTTGTTGTGGGTGGTGGTGGTTGTGGATGGAGGTTCTTGTGGGTGGTGGTGGTGGTGGATGGAGGTTGTTGTGGGTGGTGGTGGTGGTTGTGGATGGAGGTTCTTGTGGGAGGTGGTGGTGGTGGATGGAGGTTGTTGTGGGTGGTGGTGGTTGTGGATGGAGGTTGTTGTGGGTGGTGGTGGTTGTGGATGGAGGTTGTTGTGGGTGGTGGTGGTTGTGGATGGAGGTTGTTGTGGGAGGTGGTGGTGGATGGAGGTTGTTGTGGGTGGTGGTGGTGATGGATGGAGGTTGTTGTGGGTGGTGGTGGATGGAGGTTGTTGTGGGTGGTGGTGGTGGATGAAGGTTGTTGTGGGTGGTGGTGGTTGTGGATGGAGGTTGTTGTGGGTGGTGGTGGTGGTGGTGGATGGAGGTTGTTGTGGGTGGTGGTGGTGGATGGAGGTTGTTGTGGGTGGTGGTGGTGGTTGTGGTTGTTGTGGTGAGGTTGTTTGTGGCGATGTGTATGCACGTGCGTGTGTATATATGTGTATATGTATGTGTATATATGTGTATATGTATATGTGTATATATGTGTGTGTACGCGCGCACACACACGTGCACACACACACGTAACCACACACACACGTAACCACACACGCGCACACACACACATAACCACACCCACGTGCACACACACATAACCACACACACACATAACCACACACGTGCACACACACACATAACCACACCCACGTGCACACACACACATAACCACACACACACGCACGTAACCACACACACATAACCACACCCACGTGCACACACACATAACCACACCCACGTGCACACACACATAACCACACACACACATAACCACACACGCGCACACACACACATAACCACACACACGCGCACACACACACATAACCACACACACACACGCACGTAACCACACACACATAACCACACCCACGTGCACACACACACGTAGCCACACACACACATAACCACACACACATAACCACACACACACATAACCACACACACATAACCACACACACACACGTGCACACACGTAACCACACACGCGCACACACACACAACAAGACCCACGTGCACACACACACGTGCACACACACATAACCACACACGCGCACACACACACATAACCACACACACATAACCACACACACGTGCACACACACGTAACCACACACGCACACACACAACAAGACCCACGTGCACACACACACGTGCACACACACATAACCACACACACGTGCACACACACATAACCACACCCACGTGCGCACACACACACATAACCACACCCACGTGCACACACACACGTGCACACACACATAACCACACCCACGTGCACACACACACGTGCACAACAACAACAACAACCGCCATTCGCCACTAAGTGGCGGTGATGTCACCACGACGCTTGTGCCAGGCTATGTGCACCCTGAGGCCACGTGAAGTGTCGAACGCCCGCTGGCAGGAGGTCACGGGGCAGACCCAGGTGCCACGGGTCGACTGACTGAGATGACTGGCTGATGCACCACCTGTGCCCCCTACTGTGCCAACCTGCTGTGCTTTAGCCACCCGGCGCTCCGCTCGCTGTTGTGAGCGTCGCTCCTCCGCCCTCCGTTGTTGTTGGAGGGCGACTGCCTCCAACTGCCCAGTAGCATCCTTCACGAGCCTCCTCCACAGAGGCCGATCTTGACACCGCTGGTACCAGTCATCGGCAAGTCCACTCAGCTCCACGTCCTCCTGTACCACATCACTCCATCTCTTCTCTAGCCCGTGCCGCGCCCGCTTAGCCCCCTCAATCCGGCCAAACAAAAGCTGTTTCGGCATGCGGTGGCTGGGCATGCGGGCTACATGACCCAGCCATCGCAGCCTTGCCTGCCGGAGGAGCTCACCGATGGGACCCTGCCCAGATCTTTCAAGGATTTGTGAGCTCCTCACACAATCCAGTCTGGTTAAACCCAGGATGGATCGTAGGCAGGTCAGCCTAAATGTTTCTAACCGGCGAAGATGTTCCATTAGGGGGGTCCACGTTTCGCAAGCGTAGAGAAGGGAGGGAATGACCGTGGCCGAGAAGACCTGAAGCTTAGTGCGGAGCGACAGACCAGGTAGCTTCCACACAGCGTTACGCAACCGATGAAAAGATATTGCCGCTCGACTGATTCGGAGTGAGACCTCTGCTGTTAAACTGGAGCCAGTCATAAGCACACTGCCCAGGTATGGGAAACTCTCCACTCTCTCCACAACTGCCCCATCACCGATTGGGAGTTGTGGGGGTGGAGTGTCCGATGGTACAAAATACCCAGGCAGGTGCTTAGTTTTGGTGGGGCTGATGGTAAGGCCCCACCTCTTAGTGGCACGCTCCAGTCTCAGCAGCAGCATCTCCAACTCCTCCTCTGACTGAGCAGCTATTACCAAGTCATCAGCATACATAACGTGGTTGAGCAATAGGGAGCCATCCCTTGACCGCACCCGGGCATCGATTAGCCTCCCATTATATCTGTACCATATGGAGATTCCCCCGGTACAGCTATTGAAGGCTTCACGAACTACGTGGTCAAAATAGATGTTAAATAATGTGGGAGCCAGAGGACATCCCTGTCGCACCCCAAGGTGTACAGGGAATGGCTCTGACTCCCGGCCACGTAGTTTTACCCGGGCCCGCTCACCATCATGAAGGTCCTTAATGATCGTGAGCAGAGGGTCAGGTACTCCAAAAGCACGAAGAACGACCCAGAGCCCAGGCCTACTGATGGTATCATAGGCCTTGACCAGGTCAATAAAGCAGAGATGTAGGTCTTGTTGGAATTCCCTACACCTCTGCTGTAGCAGACGGACAGAAAATATGGCATCTGTGCAGGACCGCCCTTTCCTGAAACCGCATTGGGGCTCCGCAAGCCTCTCCTCAGCGTGCCTGGCAAGGCGATGCTGAATAATCCTTGCCAGGACCTTTCCCGGCACACTGAGGAGTGAGATGCCCCTGTAGTTGTTACAGTCTGTGCGGTCCCCCTTTTTAAGAAGGGGGACCGCCAGGGCATCCTTCCAATCCTGCGGAACCCGTCCAGTGGTCCAGACTGTTGTTATGATGTCATATAGGGCAGTCTGTGCACAAACGCCACCCTCCCTCAGCATTTCGCTTGTGGACAGTGCTGTGGGGGGAGTTCCAATTTTGATTGGCTCCTCCCCTCATGGCATATGTGTCCACCACAGGGGCTAAACGGGGGCTCTGGACGGGTGCGAGGGGCTGGTAACCCCTCCACCTTCAATTAATTACCACAAAACCACGAATTAAAACTGAAATATGTAACACGTGCACACACACATAACCACACACACGTGCACACACACACATAACCACACACACACATAACCACACACACGTGCACACACACATAACCACACACACGTGCACACACATAACCACACACACGTGCACACACACACACATAACCACACCCACGTGCACAAAGATCCCCCATATAGCCTTAACAGACTGTAGGGGCAAGTGCTGTTAGCGAGCACCTGTGAAGGCCGGAACGGTACACGAGGGGGTGGGTGGCCAGCACCACGCCCGACCGCCTTTGTCTCCCTAGTGGCAATGTTTACACACCGCACCAGGTACTCATTTGAGGCTGAGTCGACCTAGGGGAGGCCCGGGACCGGTTCAGATAATCGTCACTGGTGTTGGCCGTGAGCGGGAATCGAACCCGGGTCGCCAGGTTCATAGCGCAGCGCGCTAACCGCTACACTGCCGCTCCCCACGTGCACACACACACGTGCACACACACACATAACCACACGTATCTACGTGACTTTACCAAAAGAACCAAAGCGTATGGATTCCTTCAGTCACGAGAGCTTCAAATCACAGATTGTACCGAACCAAGTCGAATCGTCTGCGACGGGAGTCGAACTCGGGTCGCCGGGGTTCGGAGCGCTGACCGCTACACCACCGCACACACAGACACACACACAGACACACACAGACACACACACACACAGACACACACACAGACACACACATATACGCACACACACAGACACGCACACACACATACACGCACACACAGACACGCACGCACACACAGACACACACATACACGCACACACACAGACACACACGCACAGACACGCACGCACACACAGACGCACACACACAGACACACACAGGCACGCACACACAGACACGCACACACACTCACCCTTGCCTATGTGAGCGGAGTCACAATGCAGACCACTTATGTAATAACAGCGAGAGACGCAGATTTATTCAACAGAGACTCGGGGAGATCGGGGCTCAGCGTGTAGAGAATCAGGGTGTAGAAACTCGGGGTGTAGAGACTCGGGGTCTAGAGACTCAGGGTGTGACTCAGGGTGTAGAGACTCTGGGTCTAGAGACTCTGGGTCTAGAGACTCGGGGTGTAGAGACTCGGGGTGTAGAGATTCTGGGTCTAGAGACTCAGGGTGTAGAGACTCAGGGTGTAGAGACTCGGGGTGTAGAGACTCGGAGTGTAGAGACTCGGGGTCTAGAGACTCGGTGTGTAGAGACTCGGGGTGTAGAGACTCTGGGTCTAGAGATTCAGGGTGTAGAGACTCAGGGTCTAGAGATTCCGTATTGAATCCATCTTGTGTGTAGCTTCGGCTTCCCCTGATGAAAAACTAAATTCACAGCCTGTCCCAGGTATTGCAGTTTCAC